ATGGTCCTTTTAGAATCGAATGACCGGGCAGATGCTCTCTAGTTTCAATAAGATGTACCCATATGTCCTCCTAGAAACACGAGTACCTCCTGGGGCGCCGAGCGATATGATCTGTGATCACTGTGTCCACTGGACACAGAGGATCCCTTTCATTGTACAAGGTCTCTGTTAGATGCCCTGTTATCATATGATCACCGTGGCCAATAGCCTGTTGCCTATCACTGCCACACCAGTTATATTGTCCCTGATCACTGTCACACTAGTTAGTGTCCCTGGACACCACCACACAGTAATTTTTTTCCCTTAACACAGCCACACCCGTTACAGTGTCCCTGATCTCCACCACACCAGTTACAGTGTCCATGACATGATCATTGCCATACCAGTCATATTTCCCTGATCACCATCAAAGCAGTTAGTGTCTCTGATCACAGCCACACCAGCGTAGTCTTGCCTCTTCCTGCTGCCTGTTCTAACACTAGCCAGTTTATTTATCTTGTTTCTGCCTGCTTCCCAGACCATGCCTTTAAATGTCTCTGCCTGCAACCTGAAATTATCCATTTGCACATCCCGCTGACTACGTTCCTCTGAGACACCAGGCCAGGGAAGATGAATTCCTGGGGGCAGTCACATATCACTAGTTTTGGCTTGCTTGGCTAATAGGAACTGGGGCTGCTATAGGTGATGCTACACTACACTATATTCCCTGACTACTCATACAGAGGTGACCAGTACAGTACATTGGTTTTGACACAATGGGTGGATTTGTGTGACACACAAGATACAATATACACATAATCAGTCATGACAGTGCAAAAGTCTCACACATGTGATATTGCCATACTTAGAAGGAGTAGCAGAATGTGTTTTTGGGGTAGAATTGTAAGTATGCTCATGCTATGTGTGTATCTTTAAATTGCCATTTTTGTGTTTAAAAAATTTCCCCATTTTTTTAAAAACTCATGGAAATAAAATGTGTCTTCAAAAATCCCCATGCTTTAAAAAATACCTTTGGGTAAATTGCTTTGTGGGTATTTCTATTTGTGCCCCAGAAAATGTGAAGCTAGTCAATAAATATTAGGATATGACAGTAAAAACCTTACCTGGAGGTGTTTTTGAAAAATTAGGCAGTGAAAACTTTTCATACATTTGTCACCATTCAGTTTCTTTAGCATAGCTAGCTTGTCAAATTTCAGTAAGATTAATTTAAGTGATTTGCTCATGTATTATCACTTCAGCTGTAACACTTGTTTATCTATATCTATTTTTGTATTTATCTGTATGTACCAGGGAAATAATGTTGTCATATATTAGAGATTTATATTAGTGATATATTAGTTTTCACTTTGATGACTAAAAGTTGTAAAACAACATGTGTTGCTCTAGATCCAATACATGAAATGTATGAGATACATGCAATAAATCTCTTTAATAATGACGCCCTGATGAAGTCACGTGACAGTGACGTAACGCGTGGGTCTGTTAGTGGAGCGTGGTGATGGTTGCCGCCTTTTGGTACACCCTGGAAGTATAAACCCATATCAATACATGTGTTTGAGGCCTGATTTCAACTGATGTGATGTAAGTGTTCATTTGGCATTTCTCCATTAAAGTTTTTGCTTTAAAATTACTACACTATGGGAGTGCTCTCTCTTTTTCCTCTGGGGTGTGTCTGAGCTGGCTGAAGTTCCTGTGAAAAGGATTACCAGTTTCAACACTACTGAAATCATTACGGTTATACGGTGAGGAAGGCCATATTCATGTAATCGGTGGGATTCTATCATCTTGGATATCTATTAAGGGCCCTGAAAGCTGTGTGGCTCCTTGAGGTCTTGGCATGGAGGTGCAGGGGAATTTTAGCCGGTGATGGATCTATCATTCATTTCACCCAGTTGCTTTGTTCATTTGGAGTTAGCGGTCTATTTACATGGACTTTATGCTGATTTGATGATCACATATGTTTATTTTGATGGTCACTCATTATTTGTTATATGTCACCTTGCTTAAATTATTTTTTGTGCTTATTGACGCACGTTTATTTTCACTGTGCATTTTTCACTGGCATCAATCCTGATTATAAGGTGCATTTATAGTTTCAGGCACCTTGCATGATTATTTTTGCACATTTTTTTTTTTTGCTTTTTGATTTTGTCACAGTTTTCTTTGCACGGCACTTTTTGTGCACTTTTATTTAGAACATGTTAGTCCTATTATGTTGAATACATCATTTATGTTCACATGCTGATTATTGTGCACGTTGTTTTCATCACTATCCATATTGCACTTAGTTTGGTCTGGTTTCAGGCCTTTACATTTTTATGTATTATTTATGATGCATTTATAGTTTCATGCACCTTGTATGATTAGTTTTGCACATATTTTTTGTCATTTGGTTTTGGCACAGTTTTCTTTGCACAGTGTTTTTTGTGCACTTTTATTTAGGATGTGTTAGTCCTATTATCTTGAATACATTATTTATGTTCACTTGTTGCTTATTGTTCAGCTTGTATTTCATTACAATCTATATTGCACTTAGTTTGGTCTGGGTTCAGGCCTTTACATTTTTATGTATTTATTTATGTTCACTTGCTGATTATTACTCACGTTGTCTTTTTGCACAGTTCATTTTGCACCTAATTAGGTCTGGATTCAGGCCTTTACACTTATCATCTCTGTTTTGGGGTTATTTTTTCTGTCTCCCCACTCTTTGAATTATTGTGTCCTTAGTACTATTGATATTAGCGCAACACCATTTTATTTGTTTTGTTTCCTTGTGCTAGTGGTGTCTAGGTCTAGGTGTTTGCAGCTTTTTTCAATAGTCCTGTCTATACCTATAGTAGCACAGAAGGTTTTTTCTATTATGATTCAGGCCTCAAAAAGGTCTATGAGGACCCTCTGCATAGACATAGCTGGCAGAGAGGAAGTATTTATACAGCATCTGTCCCTTGTCGCCTCTAAGACCGCTTATTGCTAGGGTTTCAGTCTCCAGTGAGCAGAGAACTGGTGACTGTCAGTCGCTGGTTCTCTTCTCTGCCGCTCCAGCGCTCACTGGAGTACTGGGCTGTAAAGGGAGCAGGAGTGGCTGGCTCAGGCTCTCAGCAGATGACTGAGAGACTGAGCAGACTGCCAGTCAGGCATCTGGGTGGTTCATGACATTAAAGTTGAGATCCCTCCAACATCTGGAATGGCTGAGTGATGTCAGCCGACAGCAGACTTTAGCCTGATGCTGGCTGAATACGGGTCACAGGAGTGCAGAACCAAGTGCAGTCTTGTGACCCACAGGGGATGTAGGATCAAAGAACTTCCTTTGATCCTACTTCTCCTATAAATATTTGCAAAGTTATCACCAAATAAACAGACCCATAGTGGAAATAAAAAAATTGCTATAGTCCATATAAGTACAAGAGCTGAAGTGGTTATTCACTATTAGCTCAAAACTGATGGTTTGCCTTGCCTAACTGCAGTAAACAATTGGCACATGTTCAGTTTTAAGTTATTTCACTTATTTTGGAAATATCCTGATACCCAGACACAGGTGTAGGATTTACTTCTGAATTCCAGACTTAATGCAACTGGCAGAATTCACCTGTTTTTAAAGCTTCCGTTTTTTATGGATTTTTTCTAGACTTTCATTTCTAAATAGAATTAAATAAAAAGGAAGAATTTGCTTTGCTCAAAGGCTCTTTTCTGAGAGCTGAGATCAGCAGAACAAAACAGATTAGTACAAGAAGATCAATTGCTTGTGTTTCCTTTATTCTTAGACATTTAGATATGTGCCCTAGGAGATAGCATGTAGAAGTTAACATTTCAAAATGGGATCTACTGTGCTATTGCTAAAGCTTACAGACAATACTATCTGATAATCACCAGTTTTCACAGACCAGTGCATCGATATGAGTCCTTGGCTATCTTGTTGACTATCTCATTGTCTGTTTGAAGTTTGTGGTCATCTGCTTACTGTCATTGGATGAAGCTGACATGCTCTTCCTGAGAATTATTTCTGCACCGCAGACATCAAGCAAAGCAATTGAAGACAATCTCAGCTAACAACACTGCTGATGCTGATGCTGCTGCTGCTACCTCACAATCCCTGCAAAGGGCATCATATTTAATTTACAGCAGTCTGCCTTCAAAATGATGTGCGTGCCTGAGATAATGCTGCTCCCAGTTTAACACATATTATGTTATTGTCCGTCTCTTTCCAGCATTAAAGCTTGCAAATTTACACTATTTAAAAACAACACACTTTATAAAAAGTGGATAAGAGGGATAGTGAGCCTTTTTATAGATTTAAAAGTGTATCTAAACCCAACAAACACAAATTCAATATATTGCAGCTTACTAGTCCTTAGATGTGGTGGCCTCATTAATTCTATTTTTTTTTAAGTTTTATTTTTTAGCTTTATTTTCATCTGGTGACCTTGCCAATACCCTACCTCCTTTTGTAGGATGGCAATGTTCACCCCTCCAGTTTATCTATGGTGGAGCAGTGTAGCAACCCTTGGAGAGAGTAGTATTAGATGGACTAGTAAGTATAGTTGGACGTTACATAAGTGGACTTTACATAGGTGTCTAACAAATTAACCACTTGCCTGCAGGGCACTTATACCCCCTTCCTGCCCAGGCCAATTTTCAGCTTTCAGTGCTGTCGGACTTTGAATGACAATTGCGCGGTCATGCAATATTGTACTCATATGAAATTTGTATTCTTTTTTTTGAGAGAGATAGAGCTTTCTTTAAGTGGTATTTAATCACCTCTGGGTTTTTTTATTTTTTTCTAAACAAACCAAAAACTACTGAAAATTTTGAAAAAAATTTCTGTTATAAAATTTTGTAAATAAGTGATTTTTCTCCTTCACTGATGTGCGCTAATGAGGCTGCACTGATGAGCACTGATAGGCGGCACTGATGAGGAGGCACTGAAAGGCTACACTGATAGGCACTGATAGGCGGCACTGATGGGAACTGATAGGCGGCACTGATGCGCACTGATAGGTGGTACTGATTGACAGCACTGATAGGCAGCTCAGATGGGCACTGATATGTGGCATTGATGTGCACTGGTAGGCACTAATATGTGGCATTGATGTGGCACTGATGGGCACTGGCAGGTGGCATTAATGGACACTGACAGGTGGCACTGATGGGGCTACGCTGATCATCAGGGCACACTGATCATCAGTGCCCTGATGATCAGTGTACATGTCCCCTCTGAGTAATGCTGATTACTGGCTTTCACAAGCTGTCAGTGTGACAACTTGTGAGGAGAGAAATGCAGCGAACCGGCATTTCCTTATTTACATGCGATCAGCTGTGATTGGACACAGCTGATCACATGACAGAGCCGACGTCATCGGCTCTTTCTGTTGATCAGTGATCCGCTGTGTCCCAGGGACACAGCGCACCACTGATCGCCGCGCTGTGTGCTCCCACAGTTAGAGTGAAAGGACTTCATATGACGTCCTCCCAGAACGAGAGAGTCGCCTCCCGCCCATCATTTCCTTATATGGCGGGCGGGAGGCGGTTAAAGACATTTTAAAAAGTTACAGCAATATTTTTTTTCAGCTTAGAATAAAGGTTTTTTTACTATATAAATAAAATCTGATCAGTATTTGTTTCAGCCCACTGACTGCCACTTTTGATGGAGAGCTTATCCTTTTATAGGAGGTTTGGGAGGTTGAATAATACCAGAAGTAAGCTGGCCATACACTAGTAGATTTTAAAAATGACAAAAAATTATATGAAAATTCTCAGTACATTTGATGTCTTGACAAATGTTTGAAGTTCTTCAAAATGTCATTTTCATTTCAAATTTTAACTGCTTCCAGTCTGGGCTAATTCTGATATTCCTACATGTAAAAAATTTTTTTTTTTTTTTGCTAGAAAACTACTCCAACCATTGCATATATTTTTAAACAGAAGCCTTAGGAATAAAATGGTTGGTGTTGCATATTTTTTTATATTTATTATATATTTATGTCACACAATATTTGTCCAGCAGTTTAAAGAAACCACAATATAATAACCAATTGTTTGGTATAATATAAAATTTGATGTTTTGCTGAGTAAATAGATACCAAACATGTCACACTGGAAACTACGGTACCTAAAAATCTCAATAGGTGATGGTTTAAAAGCCTTCACAGGTTACCAGTTTAGCACTACAAAGGAGGTCTGCTGCTAAAATGACTTTCCTTCTTCTGACCTTTGTGGGGATACATTACATGTGCGGTGTGATTTCCATTTACATATGTACGTGGGACTTACATGCACATACTCATTTGTACATGAGCACATGGGAACTGGGGTACTTTAATTTTTTAAATTTTATTTTGCCAATAGGAAATACTTTTACATTCAAGGGAATGACCTACAAAAAAATATGAAATCTTGGTCATTGCTGCAACGATCACCGAGATATCACCTTTCCAAACCTGTGACGTAAAAGTATGTCGCTGGATGGGAAGCAGTTAAAGTGAATAGACACATACATTCATTCGAAAAAAGGAATTTCGATCATGCTCCTTTGAATTTTCTCATCACCGCTGTCAAAAACAAAAGTTGATTTGAACCCAGTAATAATGAGAAAATTGAAAGAATGTTCATACAGTTACATATACTCAGTGATGTGACTAACCTCAGGTGATACACTGAGATGAAACAAATCCTCCTGCATAAGTTGTACCTATTCATCTACAGACGTCTGCCCTCAACATCCATTTAAAGTGCAGAATTTACACAAAATTTCTCAGATCTGAAAAGCAGAGTCTGGGGAGCAAGCTAAAATTACACTCAGTGAGGGGAGCTGATTGGAGGGAAGGGACCCCCCCCTTCACCCAGCACACAAGAACAGAGCTGAGGCTGTCAATCATTGGCTGTGCCCTCCCCTGTCACCTTTGTTCTCTTGGTGTCAGGAAAACTTGTCAGAAGTTACTCATAATGGTAGCAGGGGAACAAGGCAGCAAACAGAAATGACAATCACACAATACAGAGGGATATGCTTTGTTCTTGTTCCATGTCTGAGGTTTATAACCACTTAAAAATGAAATATTTCTAATAAAATTCTACTAGTTTAAAGCCAGCTTTACTGGTAGGATTAACAGATTAACATTAACAGAATAACATTAATTAAATTATTCCTAAAAGAAATGTGCAAATTTTAAATACATATGTCACTTTTTATTACTTTTATTACACAACCCTTTTGGGGTTCTAACTTCAGCTTCCTCAATTAAGCTTTGGATATAAATCCTGGAAGCTGATTGGTTTCTATGCAGAGCTGCACCAGATTTTGCGCTCCAGTTTTTTAGTAAATAACCCCTATGTGTGTGGCTGATAATTGGTAGAAGGAGAATGGTGTGCACTAATAATATTTACTGATAAATATAACTGCTGAACTATAACAAAATGAAATCTGCAGCTCTATAAATAGGTTGTCTTTTTTGGCAACATGCAACTGTTTGATACCAATTTGAGGCTTTTCTGGAATTACACAGGGCTTAAAATTTCAAGTCCTGAGCTATTAGCCAGGCCTTAAGAGTTACTCGTCACCAACAAACACACCCAGAGACACTTGTACACACACACAGACATGTACATACACATACACACACACAGAAATATGTATACACGCACAGAGACATATGTACACACACACACATACAGACACATGTATACACACACAGGCACGTACAGACACGCATACACACAGATACATGTACATACACAGAAATACACATGCACAGACACATGTACATATACACAGACTAATGTACATACATACACAGACACATGTACACACAGACACATGTACGTACATACACACAAACACACATGTACATACACACACACACACACACACACACACACAGACACATGTACATACACATACATGTACATACATGCAGACACATGTACAGATACACACATGTACATACACACAGACACATGTACATGCATACACAGACACACACAAACACACACACATGTTAAGTGATCTCTCCTCTCCCTTGAAACCACCACTGGCTGACATAGAGGATCATGTGACACACACACACCCCTATAAAAAGTTGCAGTACTTCATTGTTCACTCACAGAGCCGGGTACTGCACTCTAGGGGGAGTAGGGGGTGGCAGAGAGCACAGCACACACTCCTTCCTTTGCTTTCACCTATTGAGCAGTCTGAGGGCTCCCAGTGCCAATGACAGATCCGCCCTGAGCTCCGAGCCTGCTCAGAAGACGGCCCTGGGGGACACACTACCCCCACCATAATTTCCACTCGCCATTGGCAAGCAGGCGAGTGCAAATTTCAAGGCCTGATCTAGAATGCATTGGCAGGTGCATTTGATCTGCAGTTGATTTCCTTCTAACCAGCATTTCATCTGCTTCAAATGGATTTTGTTTTCTAATAGACTTGTATGGTAATGCAAAATCTGCCTGAAGCCAATACAAGCTCTTAAACACACGCCCCTACTGTGTTTTGTCACCAGCAGAAAAATTATGTAAATTTCTCTCATAGGAAAATAAACAGTAGTAAGAAGCACCTTTTTTAACAGAGCGGAAAGTATTAAAACGTTTGCTGGGTATTTGTTACTGAGTGTGATTACTGAAACTTCTCACTCCCTATAGGGTCCCCACTAGGGATTAGCTGCTGGTTGGTCTGAACCCAGGTGCGGCAATGGACAAAATAAATTGGTGTTCAGCCAAGTCAAACCTCCAGTGTTAGCAGGAAGTGAAATATTGATCAGCAGTATTACTGTCACCGATACAGGCGAAGTTTCCCCTCAGGTTTGATGTCAGGATGGTGGAAAATCATATTTGTTCAATGGCATCACCCAGGAGCCCCTGCCTCTTTGTTTAATTTTAGAGGTGGGACCCTGGGAGATGTCAGTTAGCATAATTAAATGATAAGAGTGGATCTTGCTGAAGGTCGCCTAGATTTTTTTTATTTTGGCTGGTACTGAGTGTCGTTCATCAGGAATGACTTGGATCTGCATTATTGGCAATGGATTTTCATCATGTGCTTTTTTTTTTTTATATAATAGATTTAAAAATCCTAAGGTGTCAGTGTGTTTTACTGCTTACTTTTTTTTAATGAGTTGGATACTATGTACTTCTTATTCATTCAGATAGGGATGGAGTCTGGGGGAGCCCTTATTGTTAAAAGGGGCTTAGAGCTTCCAATAATCTCCCTGCCCGAAGACCCCTGCAACCAATGGGCCAGGGTTGTGGGAAAGAGACCGTTGACCCCCTTTAACATGAGGGAAAGGTGCTTTGCCAAGGGGGTCAGGTACCCCCATATTGAGGGAATAGGGCTTGGTATGGTTCAGGAGGGGGGTACAAGCTCATTCCTTTCTTCATGAACAGTCAGAGTGCATACCCCAAGCATGTTTTCTAAGGCAGTGCTCAGTCCCCCATGCCATTTTCTTGACAATCGCTTGCCTATCAGCCTAAAAAATGTCCAATACTGTTTTTTAACATTAGGTTTTCATTCCCATTTGGCACCGAACCTAGGTACCAAACCTAGCTCATCCCTAGTTATCATCACAGAAAGTGAAGGGAAAGTGCCCTACTAGGGACAGACAGCAATAAAAACTTAGCAGGGATTAAATTCCCCATTCTATCTGACAGTAAATAAAAATAGGTTTGGTTGAATCTTCACTTTAAACATATAAAAAACATTGTAGAGCATTCATAGAGTGTCTAATACTTTTTGAATTATGACATGGGTCAAAACAATAAATGTCAGTTTGGGTGACAGATTTCTATACCTGTTGTAAATGGGTGCATGAATCTAAAGTGTGTGGATGTGCACTGAGACCGGAGTGTCTATATGGACAATCTGTCCTCAGGGTAACTGCACTTCCTCCTGCAGGTATCAGATATTATTATTATTATTATTATACAGTATTTATAAAGCGCCAATAGTTCGCTCAGTGCTACAGTGCAGTAGTGAGAACTTTTATTTTTGGGTGGGCGAAGCATTATGAGTCTCAGACACTGAGGTCCATTTCCCTTGTGATTGACAGCAGGCAGTGGGTGGTTCCTTAGCCAATAGAAATAAGGTAATTTCAGAACAGGGCCACAGAAAACTAGTGCCTCAGCATCCACATCAGCCTCCACCCACTGCAAGATCACTAGTTGCTAGGACGTTGTTGTCCGTGAAGCCATCAGCATCTTTAACAACCAGTAACAAGGATAGAATAGCAGCAGCAGATATGCTACTCTGCTACACTGTGTACAGAGACAGGCATGCTGCCTGTCTGTGTATGCCAACTTACAGATGGTCCTAATTACCTCCAGTTTTTTTATTTACAAAAGTAATTATTTTTTTAATTTGGTGCATTAATAGCGCCACTTTGTAAAAGTGGTGTTATTAAAGTGTTACTAAACCCAGGACCCTACATTCACTCCTGTCTGGTCTCTACAGTTCACAGAACATGGAAATGCATTTATTTTAGTAAATAGAAACTGCTAAATACCTATTAGAGCAGTCCTGTGACTTCTATCAGTGTTCAGCAGAGCACATGTTAAAGCTTGTAGAAGGAGTTTTCTTTCTGCTCCAGGAGGATGCAAAACCCCTGTTCTCTCTCTCTGGACAGTGCTGACTGACCATGTGCTGATCACATGCACACTCCCAAGAAAAAAAAAAAACTCTCTAGCAATATACACTAAACTGAGCATGTGCAGAGTTTCTCCATACCATATGTCTTATCAAGAGATAAGAGGGAGACACTGGAAGAAGGGGAGGATCAGAGAAGTCAGGATCAATCAGCCATTTTACACAATGGAGAAGATTAACCCCTTAGGTTCCAGAGTGAGTACAACAATCATTCTTTGCTGCATATACAGACTGATTTTACTGGTTTAGTAACACTTTAAGAACTACCTGAATCTTCCACACATGTCAGTATAGTTACCAAAATGAGTGACAGTGATTTTTTAATCTGGTGCAGGGCATTTAAAAGGGCCATAGAGCTCCAGAGGAGTGTGGGTAGAAATGTATTGAATTTCCTAGATAGTGTTTCCATTTCTGATAAAGGCATAGTCTAAACCAGGGTTTCTCAACCAGGGTTCCATAGAACCCTAGGGTTCCTCCAGAGGTTACTAGGGGTTCCTTGAGCATTGAGCCATATCCGCCTCTCAGGTTCCCGCTGACACAATTGATATTTTTAACTATCTATAAGGTAATTCTTCTCAATGACCACAAATGTAAGGAGCATTCTTCCCACTGACCATCACATGACTGTATCATGAGCTGTAGATACAGTAATTTTTAGCAGGGTTCCCTGAGACCAAAAAGTCATATCAAGGGTTCCTCTGTGCTGTAAAGGTTGAGAAAGGCTGGTCTAAGCTATGTAACAGCTGTGCTGAAGCATAAATTATGAACTTTTTTAGTTTTTATATTGCAGTATTTGTTTATAACAGCAAATGTAATAATATTGCCACTACATAATAATAAAACACTTGGAGGGAGATTTACTAAAACTGGAGAGTGCAAAACCTGGTGCAGCTGTGCACCGTAGCTAATCAGCTTCTAACCCCAGAAACCACTAAACAACTCATCCACTCCCTCATCATATCACAACTCGATTACTGCAACTCCCTCCTCACTGGCTTCCCCCACCGCAGGCTATCCCCGCTTCAGTCGATCCTGAATACGGCAGCCAGACTCATCCACCTTACCAACTGCTCCGTTTCCGTCACCCCCCTCTGCCAATCCCTCCACTGGCTCCCGATTGCCCAATGGATTCATTTCAAAATACTAACACTGACGTACAAAGCTGTCCATAATATCGCCCTAAACTATATCACCGACCTAATATCCAAATACCACCCAAAAACACACTCTCTGCTCCTCACAAGACCTGCTTCTCTCTAGTTCCCTGGTCTCCTCCTCCCATGCCCGCCTCCAGGACTTCTCCAGGGCATTACCCATCCTCTGGAACTCCCTACCCCAATCCATCAGACTATCGCCTACTCTCCTCTCCTTTAGGCGCACCCTGAAAACCCACCTCTTCAGGGAAGCCTACCTGCCCCCTGCTAACTGCCGATCTCCTCCACTCTTCCCACCACTCCATCCCCCACAGCTTTTCCTCCCGTACCACTATCCCCTCCCCCCTAGATTGTAAGCTCCAAGGAGCAGGGCTCTCGAACCCCTCGTGTATCGCACTGTATTGTCATTGTACTGTCTCATGTTTTGTCTCCCATTGTAATGTACAGCGCTGAGCGAACTATTGGCACTATATAAATACTGTATAATAATAATAACAACTTCAGCTGTTCAATTATGCTTTGACAATAAAACCTGGAAGCTGATTGGTTTCTATGCAGAGCTGCACCAGATTTTGCACTCTCCAATTTTAGTAAAATACCTTCATGATCTTTTAGCTAACGTTCCTCCTCTGCATTAGAGAATATACAGCACATGCTCAGAAAAGCTTTAAATTCAACAGTGATGGGTTAAGGCTGAAGAGCTGATTGCAGCCTGCATATATTTTAGGAAAGCGTATTGCAACATGCCACTGGCACACACGGCCGCACCTATACATCTTGGCTTCATTTACTACTATGGAGGGTGCCAGAAAACACATGGCATCTGACAAGGGCTCATTCACACCTATCAAATTTGATATACATGTATTTTACATGCCTTTTCAACGTTTGTTCTAGCTTACTGAGCTGATTTACACTTTCATTGTTTCCAAGGATACCTCTGTCAAACATTCATAACCTAGGAAATTTTGTATAGCTACTCCATTCAAAAGCACTTGAAAGAATGTTCATATGAATCTACTCATATTCCTGCGTATTGCTACTGCAGTCAAACTGTAGCTTGCAGTATTTTTTTTTTTCTAACATAACGTGAGTCACAGAACTCATTAGGGAACACGTATAAACAGACCCTTAGACAATAATGTGACATGCATTACCTACAGTTTCTATGCCCTAAAATAGCTTAGCAACAGTACCTAAATTCACTCTTATACTTGTGGGATCAGGCCTCAGTCTGTGGAGTTACCATCGTTTTACCATTCTTCTGCATTACTTTCTCAGGCAGATACATGTAGACAAATGGCAATGCCTTCCTCAAGGAAAACACTTACTTATATTACATAAAGGTATACTGATCAATGCAGCCAAAAAGTGGCAAAGCAAAAAATATATGCTATCATAGTTATTGTATTCTGATATATTTATTTAATACAATCAATACAAAGTAGGGAGTATATTTTTTATTTCACATGCCCTTATTTATATTTTTCTCCACAGTGACATGCAGAACAAGCTGACCAGAAAAACTGCTAGTGACGGGAGCTGGGACTTTTGGTAATGGGAAGCTTTCAACAGTTACCTTTTTATTCCAGTGGTTTAAGTCTTTCTTTAAAAAAGTGCTGCAACTCTGACAGTGTTACAGTCTGTGTCAACCTATGTCACTGTCACTTTTGCTGAAAATCTTGTGCTTCAAACACATGAAGAGAAAAATTGCAAACAAAAGGGAATTCTTATGCTGAATACTAAAATGTAATGTACTGACCTCCTCTAATCATCAGAATACAGTTTTTGTGATAACAGTTCTTTTAATCTGGCCCCATTGATAGAAGTTAATAGCCATGAACTCAGATTTGCATAGTAAATGACTCCTTTAATTAAGTAAAATCAGTGTCTAAAAGAAGACCATAAATACAGCCTTATTTTTAACCGCTTCCTGTCTGCCCTATAGCAGAAATACTGCTACAGGGCGGCACTGGTGTGCAAAATCACGTATATATATGTGATTTTGCATCTCTGGGTAGGGGGCGCCTGCCTTACCCACGCCACCATTCGTGGCCGCAGCTGTCAGTCATCGGGTCCCGGCCGGCGATTACTCCCTGGCGCCCAGTGATTGCCGAGGATCTCCTACGAGGAGGAGAACTGTTTGTAAACAAAACAGTTCTCCTCCCTGTCAGCTCATGCACACTGCTTTGTATGGCTGTGCTGTGCACTGCATACAAAGCAGTGTGCTTACAGTGAAGGTCAAACACTCTGCCTCATAGTAAAACACACCCAGCACACAGTTAACCCTTTGATTGTCCTTCATGTTAACCACTTCCTGCCCAGTGCCATTAGTACAGTGCAGGGGCGGACTGACCATTTGGAAACTCGGGCACTGCCCGAGGGCCCGGAGTCAGTAGGGGGCCCCATGAGATGTCCCTGGTACCTTTTTCATAGGCTTTTTTGAGTTTGGGCAAGGACACAGGGGCCCCATGATCCCCTATTGCCCGGGGGCCCCATGAGTTGTCAGTCCGCCCCTGGTACAGTGTCAGTGTCTTTTTTTAGCACTGATCACTGTATTGGTGTCACTGGGGATATCAGTGACACCAATTCAGTTTCCCCCCAGTGTCAGAATGCCCGCTGCAGTCCCACAGTCCCACTATAAGTCACTGATTGCTGCCATTACTAGTAAAAATTAAAAAAAATTCCATTTGTAAATGCTATAACTTTCACGTAAACCAATTAATTTACAGGTATTGGGATTTTTTTTTTAGCAAAGACATGTAGCAGAATACATTTTGGCCTAAATATATGATGAAATTAGATTTTTTAAATGTCAAAAATTTAAAAAATTTTTTGAGCGCAAAAAATAAAAAACAAACAGGCAATCAAATACCACCGAAAGAAAGCTCAATGCGTGGGGAAAAAAAGATGTAAATTTCATTTGGGTGCAGCGTTGCATGACCGCACAATTATCAAAGTAACCCAGCGCCATAGTGCAAAAAATGGTCTGATCAGGAAGGGGCGGGGGGGGGGGGGGGGGGGGTAAATCCTCAGGAGGGCAAGTGGTTAAGCAGTTTTTCTTTTAACACAAAAGCATTCCTTAAAAGCTACATTTTTAGACAGCTAGGCTAAAACAGGAAAATGTTTCACAGATACTGGTAAACAAGTCTGAATGCAATTAAACGCTTTCAGTGGAGTTGATTTACAGATTTACAACAGAGAATGTTGTTCACTTAGAAAAGTTCATGATAGTAAATAAGGTGAACATGTGTTCACTTTGAGAACTTAATTATGTTTGAGGGATATGTTAACGGCAAGATTTTTGCTAGCACATAACCAATCCATTGAAATAAACACTGCTTCGGCGTATGCGTTAAGCTGAATAAACATTCACTTTTTAAAGTGAACAATATTTACTTCTTTAGTAAATTACCCCATTGTGTGATAATTGGAGCATTGTTTTCAGGAAAAAAGCATCATACATGCAGGGCAGATACACCGCTAACAGATTCCTACAGCGTAGATGCAAGAGACATACTAAGATGGAAATAAAAGGAAGAGTGATGAGTATTTATAAATGGTAAATTACCTTGTACAACAGTATACGATGCCTCAACTGAGACAGGTTGGTTATAACAGTGACATCATCATCCCTGTTGGAATTTTCAATGTCAATAGTTATAGATTTTTCCATTTCTCTGTGGAGACTGGTAACAACGCCAGTTGGACGGGTTACATTGGTCAAGCGGCCTTCATTATCGTAACTAAAATTGAATCAATTAAACAATATTAGTTAAACGAACAGCAGTATTGACACATTCTCAAAGCACTCTCAGTAACGGATATGAATGGATTAAAGTTGAAAAGGTCAGTATGAAACTGTAAGATTACTTCTTATAACTTCTCAGCCTGGAGAAAAAAAATACTATTCCCTTTTTTCTTCTGAAGGCTAAAGGCTACAGAAACATTTCACTTATTTAAAAGGTATTTAACAAACATTCATGTGTAGGTCTTTTTCCAGAATCACCACCAGAGAATTTATTGCTCCTTAATGTATAGTGAAATGGGGCTCTTGACTGCTGGAAGCATAGCAGAAGTTAGTATGCTGGTATGATTCGTTATGTATCTTTGTCTGACCTAACGTGCTCTTTAATGTAAATGTAAAGCAAGTATATGGTAGTCAAATATCAGATTGGTTTACTAGTTAATAGGGTGGGGATAGACGTGGTCATTTATACCTGGGTGCAAGGAGCAGATGCACCTTCTTTAGGGCTACAGCACCCCACAAGACAAGTTCATATCCTTTCTCCTTGTTTTCTATATTATTACAAATGCTATCTGATTAACGCCTTACATGGGCTGTTCAGTTCCATCATGTTATTATGCCTAAGCTTCCCAACAGTAATATATTAGGGTACATTTACACCAGCCAGTTGGTGTGTGTTGAGGTGAAGGCAGTGCTGATGCATCGGCTGGGCTGCGCTGAAAAAAAGTACCGCACGCAGTAATTGTTCAGCATATACTGCCCACACACGACTGCAACACAGTGGTGTGAACTGTCCACATCAGAAACAAGGCAGTTTGTCTTGTCTTGCGGTGGGGCTGTACTGAAATAGCTGCCCATCGCCATCCCATGGCAGTCCCACCACACCTGGCGTTAATCTACCCTTACGACTATTATGTACTTTGGGCCTACACATGGAGGCATTCAGAAGCAAAATCTACTTCTTATTTCTAGAATACTGGGATATTTATGCATGTGCTGTATACATTGAGACTGCAACTTGCTGACTTGCTGACCAGCACAACTTTTTGCCTTGCAGTTTTCAGAAATCTACAGGAGGTTGCTAAAGATAACCAGAACAGCATGACTAACTCCACTATCCAAATTTGTGAAACCCAATATATGTGTGTTTTTACATGCGTGCTTTTTTTATATATATATATATATATATATATATTTTACTGTATATAGATATACATACATATATTCTTAGATGTCAGATCTGTGGGATTTGATATATAACAATCACAGAGGATCTTTGTACATCTTTAATGAAAAGGGAGAGCTGGTATAATTACGTCTAAATAATGTGCTTTCTCCTGGATGTCAAAATGAAAGGCATCATCCATGTATCTGTATTATTTGCAATGTCTTTAAATATTCCCTATTCCAACATGTCTTTATTTTATTTCACCAACGCCCAGAAAAATAAAATTGGCACTACTTCCTCTCAAACATTCTCATTGTGCAAATACTTATGTTACTTTGTGTGTCATTATGTTGCTCGCTCTGACATTAAAATCTGAATGAAATGTTAGAGTCGCAAGCACTATGATTTGCTAATTAATACACAGTCTGTACTAGACATTAAAGCTAATGATTCTCATCACAGACCCAGCAAATTACCCATTATATTCTAGAACTTTACATGCTGTTTAAAAGAAACTTTACATCACAGTTAAGTTACTTTCACTTGTCTAATTTAAGACCTATACACACAAATGGCTTTTTTAATCCTGTGCTGTCACAAAGAATTTACAGTGCAGTTGCCAGTTGCTATGTATAAAAATGGTTAAAACACACATTTTACCACTAGATGTCTCGTCACTCTAAACAATGAAACCTGTGAACATTCTATCTTTCTCTCTCTCGCTCTCTCTCTCTGAGCAACCAGTTTTTTAATTCTGTCCTCCATACATTATACTGACTTTACATGCATCAATTTTTCACATAATAAACTATTTAATTTAAGTGGTTTATGTTGCATTGAACAATAGTTTAAAGTATCTGATCAATTTGATTAGATTCCCTACCCATCCAATCACCTTTGTCTTTGATTCAATTGTGCAAAATTGGTTGAAATGCTAAATTAAAAATGAAACACAGGATATAGTGCTACCACCAATGTGAGGGGTTTTTTTTTTGTGATGGGGTATGCCTCCACGGATCATTAAAGTTAGGTGTCATGCTATAGCAGTAGGAACCTACCCCCTTACAGCTGTGCTTAGAGGAAGTACCTACTTACACTGGTGGTTATTGGAGAAGTACCTACTTACACTGGTGGTCAGGAGAGAATGTCCCCTTACATTGGTGGCAACTAACCTAACTATATCTTTATCTGAACTGGCTAACGTACCAAGTAAAAATAAAAGTTGCATGCCCTTAGTTGTGTCCCCTTAGAGGCGCCTTCCTCTCTTTTTTTCTTGTTACTGCATTAGAGCCTTGATTCCACTTTAAGAAGAGCTGCCTCAGTGTTACTGCTCCCATCCATCAATCCATCCATCCCTGATATCCATCTGACACCTTTATCCTACAGCTACAGAGGTTGGGCTCCAACAAGCACGCCCTATATAATATACATTTTCAACATGTAATAAAACTATGTCACAATGGGGGCTCAAAAATGGAAAAACTACTATGCTAATGCTATTGAAAGAGTGCATTATACAGTATCCTTTTTTGTCTATGGTATTCTTTTGTATCTATGGTACTATTTGAATTCTAACAAACATGATGCTTTTTGTTCTTTTAATAAACAAGTTAAAAAAAAATGTAAAATGCATAGCAAGCAATTTGTAGATTTGTGAAGTTGGTAAAATCTCTTACAGCGAAAGTGATAGTGATCACACTTTTTCTATTAAAATGGGGAGTCTAAAACTATCAACAAAAGGCAAAAACATTTAATTAGCATGTTAATTAAGTACAGTAAAGATCTGCATTATGTCCCCAAGTATGCTGTGTGAGCACATGTGCCTGCTGATAATGCTCATGGGAATCCCACTGACAACAATTGAAATATTACCCATATTGCAGTGCAATGTGCATTTGATTAACACATAAGTTTATAAACACTTTTGAAAATTTTATAAAAACACATATGCTTGCTTTAGTACCTGTGAATTACAAGACAGAAAATGTCTAATAAGGAACCTAATTAAATAGCTGTCACACCAAGTTATAACCAGGTCAGGTTATAGCCAGATCTGAAAGCACATGGACAGCAGATTTACTGGGAGCAGAACTCTTGGTGGCCTTTGAGAGTGAAGCTGCGTACACACAGTCGGATGCCAGCACTGAATTGATGCAGGCAGGATGCTGGTTTTCCAGCAAACATGTTTGACAGAGGCCAGTCATGAGCCCCCCTATCCCCCCCCCCAAGCCCCCCTATTCCCCCCCACACACACAAATTGCCTCTTTACAGCTGTGACAGCTTCCTCTGATGTCTATCTAAGCTCTGTCCAACCGTCTTCAGTGTTGGCTTTTGGTATATGGCACCTTTGAAGTCTATGGGGACTTCATTGAAATTTATGGGACAATCTATAAACAGAGGGGTCATACAGTAATAGCATTAAGGAGGTAAATAGGAAGCTTGGTAATGCAGGCTAGCTAGGGACAGGCTGGGGATTAGCCATGGGTTACGTAAATATGTAGCTGTCCTTTAAGATCACTTTAAGCCCCGTACACATGATGGGAATATTAGACGAATGATCGTTTTGGGGTTTTTTTGCATGCTAGTCTCATATCGAAAGTGAAGAGGTTACTAAAGTTACAAAAATTCTTGTATGACAAGTGATGTAATGCATTGTATTGTATTTTCGGATGAAAACTGTACTGATTAAA